TCTGGACCTTTTGCCTTTTGGTGTGGCCCCCCGCACTCTGGTCACAGCCAGGTCAGCCTGCCTGGGGCAAGCACTGAGCTAACCCTTTATTTTAGATGTCCCCAGTGCGCTCTCTCCACGGCAAAGCTGCAGCCCTGGATTTTCTGCCTAACCACACTGGAGTCCCTCACCTTGTCCAACACTGTGCTCCAGTGCCCTGCAAGGAGTGACAAAGTCCCTTGTGAACTTGAACGTCTGAGCCTTCAGTCCCCAGTGCAGCCCGCGTGTGCGTGGAGGGAGGCATTTGCTGTGGCGCAGAGCAAGGCTGCAGCTGGATTCCAGCTCTCCTGTGGCTTGGTCCAGCACCCTGCTGCCCATAAGGTCTGCCTGCCTCCCTCCTCGCCACCTTGGGAACAGGAGCGTGTGCCAGAGCTGCTCTGCTCTTCTTGCAGGGGAGTGCTCTGCTTATTTAAAGGATCATTTTGGGCAGCCATGCACTTCTCATGCCTTCTCTGTTCAGTGTGGAGTTCAGCACCACAGCTGTTGAATTGAAATGACTAGCCCCAGCGCAAATGCCAGGCACAAATGTAATCCCAGGATGCAGGTGGAATTTGCTGACACATCCTTGTGGTGGGGGTTTCTCACTTGTATTTTTTTTTTTTTTACCTGAGCGGCCGAGCAAAACCTTAGGGTCTTGATTAGGAGACAAATTGGTTGTCATCCTGTGCGTCTGGTTTTGCACCCAAAACTTGCTTCTACAGGATGATACTGGAGCTGAGAGGGAGCAGCGATGCTTAACTGGGTGGCAAAGCATCATGCCAGGCTGTTGGCCCCTGTGCCACCAGCATTTCTGTGGTGGCTGAGCTGTCTCTGAGCTTTCTTGCCCCCGTGGACTTCTTCTTGGGCCAGCAGGACCCTCTGCTCTTCAGCTTGAACTTGCGGATGGTGTCGGGTGCTGCTTTGTCTCAATACGTGACTGGACTTGAGGCTACTTGTTTCCTGGAGCTAATGTAGGTGAGGGTTGTTTCTGTGCTATTGAAACACAAGAGTTTCTACCTAGCTACCAGGTGCAAGAGCAACTTTAGGCACTCTCAGTCAGTTGGTTTCAGATCAATGCGCTTGATCTTGTTGAAAGTTTTTAAATTTTTTGAAGGGGTACAAACCCTTATTTTGAAATATATATTGGTTTTAAAGCCTGTTTATTTTGTGTTGTCGTTAACTCGCTTGTTCAAGCTTTAACCAAAAGCCCCAGAGCTGCAAGTGAGGAACTTGGTGTGAATTTAGGTCTCGTTTAGAAAAAGATGTTACCCTTTCTAATCCTAAAGAACAGAAATTGCACCCTGCAATGACACAGAAAAAAAAATAGCAAATCACAGTTGTCTGACCCCCCTCGCCTTATGACTTTGGGCTGCGTGAGGCTGACAGCACATTATCAGGTCAGCTTGCAGCTCATACATTTGCAAGCTCTTGTTATTTTAAGCATGTCACCACAGCTGCGTTTAAAATAACCTTCCCAGCTAAATTCACGTGACGGAGGGATGATGGGCACACCCGGGCTCTTATACTCTTGTCCTTTCCCGTTATAAACGGGTCTGCGAGGAGCTGCCACGCTGCCGTTGGAGGAGCGCGTGCTGTGGGGAGGCTGGGGCTGGAGGAAGGGACTTCCACTGATGCTTAGTGGGGTGCGCGTGGGCTGGTGGTGCTCTCTGTGTGCTTGTGATGTGACATTCGTAAAGGCTGTGGCAGCATTCCGGGTGACATCCCGAAGCTTGCAAGCAGGCTGTGCGATAATAAAAGGTGTTACTGAAATAATTGTAAGCTGTACGGTCACTCCAACAGTGACAACTTTGGCCTCTATATTGTGTGTCAATAAGTCCAAGCTAAAATCCATTAATTACTAGTAATGATGGTTGGGTTTGACTTCCAGCCCGACCAGTTCACCCTGGGCTTTTCCCAGCTCATGTTTCTACAATAAAATTTCCAAGTGTAGTTTTGTTGCTGTTGTGAGCAGCAGAATGGACTCCTGTTCCTTTGCCTTAGGGTTGGGTTGGCAGAACTAGGAATTGCATCAAACTGTGACCTTCCTCTGCCCCACAACTCTGACAGAGTTAAACGTGAAGGGGAAACTTCCCTGACTGGTAACTAGAAGATTTACCTTGTGGCAGGTGACATGGTTCGTGCCCAGAGCCATGGGGACATGGCAGCTGCTGTCCCGTTGTGCCCACAGCCTGGCCTGTGAAGGTGCCTCCGTCTCCGCCAGTTCTTCTGGATGTTCAGCAGCTGCTTTGCCAAGCTACCCTTGCAGCGAGGACAGGAGCTGGTTTGCAGGCAGACATCAGAGGTGGCTGTGCTGGCACGCAGGAGGTGAGAGAGGAGTGTGGACCGGGGGGAAGGACAGGCAGCATAAGCTGATGCTGCCAGTCTGGATGCATCCTGACCTGCCCCGTGTGGGGGCGTGTTCTTCCTTTCACCCTTCCTGCCCCTATCTCTGAGCTCCTGTGTCTCCACAGCAGTGGTTACTAGCCGGCAGCCGGCAGTCCTTGTCTGGAAGCTGTACAAAAGGCCCTGCCGCTTCCTTCTGCGGCCGCTGCTTCCAGTGCACCCCTGCCCCATGCCAGCCCAGCCGCTGCTGCGGCTCCCTGGCAAAACCGCTCTAGAGAGGGCCGAGCTCAGCACATTCAGCGTCTGCTTCTGTGAGGGTGGTGACCAGCCCTGGCCGAGCAGGGGGTGGCTAAGGCCGTGCCGTGGCCAGACCTCCACCCTGGCAGCCGTGGCTGCCGGCTGTACCCCCGTGCCTGTGCTGGTCACATCCGTGCCGCTGTTGTCACTTACTCCAGAGCAGGGTCACACAGGGCTTCTGCTGGCATACTCACGCCTGTGTCTAAGCCGGCTGTAGGATTCACGTCCCTTGTTACAACTTCATTAGGCCAAATCACTTTTATTTTTATAGTGGGATGATCCACTGATAGCTGTAAAGCTGGGTGGAGATGAGGCACAGGTGGCTTTCACTGCCCGCTGTTTTTGCAAAGTCATTCACAGCCGGGTGAGAGCACAGGCAATGGCCAAGCTGGCAGCACGTGCAGTGATGCTGCAGTGACAATCCCCTCTAGGCAGGGATCTCGGGGACACTTTCATTCCCCTCCTTGTATATTTATTTCGCTTTTTCACATTTACATTCACTGGTGTGCTAGGGTCAGTTTGTGGTTCGAGCACGCTTGTGACCTGGGGTGCATCTGGGGGGGGTGGCATCCAGAAGCTGAGCTTTGCTCCCTTGTTTACTGGGGGAAACTTGAGCCAGGCAGGTGGCGGCATCTGAGCCACAGCTTCTTCAGTCTGTGCTAATCGCTGTGAATGTCACAACACAGTCGGCTTTGCTGCTGGGCGAGGATCGAGTAGCGATCGGATAGTGCGGTACAGCTCGTGTTGTGTATGGCGTGTGGGATTCCCTTCCCCGGGGCTCAGAGCCTCTCTGGGCTGTAGCTCATAGAGGGACACAGCCACCCCATCCTCATCAGGAGCGCTCAGCATGACTGTGCACTGCTCGTTAGTGCTTGTAGGCATGCGTGTGGAGCGGACCTGACCCCTTCCATACTTCCTTGCAGAGCTTGGCAGGGCAGCAGCTTTCCTTGAGGACATATAGCTTCTATAGGATCCTGTGTGGGACATCCCCACCTCATACAGCCTCCGGTTGGGATGCTGATGACCTGATGTGAGTTGGAGACTGGGGCCTGATTCACAGGTTGAGAAGGTGTGGTGGGTGCAGGTCTGTGCGGGGTGTAGGTCTGTCTGACCCAGCCCTGTGGTGAATGTGAGCCGCTGTTGGTGCTACAAAGCAACCCCAGGGTGTCCTAGCTACACTTTAACCGCTGCAGCCCAGGCTTGATTTTCAGGTGAGAAAAAAGTGTGTGTATTGCAAGAAAACTTAAGAGGGTGATGGTTGATGCTCTGCTTATTTTTATACTTTTTTTTTTTTTTAAACATGCAAGCTTGTGAGAGCTGGAAAGTGGAAGAGCCAGCCAGCTTGGGATACAAATTCCTATCTTGGCTGTATCCAGGGGCCCTCTAGGCATGTGTTAAAGCAAGACAAGTACCTGGCACATGGTTTGTTTTCTCT